TTTTTGTAGTGCTAACAACAGTCACTAGAGGCAATCTATATTTAAGAATCATGAGTGTGAAGAGAGGAAAGACAAATCAAACCTCATTATAGTGATTTGTTATTGGATGTGATATATCAAAACCCTGTCACTATTTTGTTCCAATCTCCCGTATAAACATTTTATAATTGTTTATAGCTGTATGAAAATGTCAATAGGAATTTTTGTCACTTGAAGGAAATTTTCTTAGGCTAATGCAGGCGTAAGACTTTGCTACCCCCTCCTGCAACTGCTGTTCTTTTCCTCTCTCTCTGACCAGCTGTTGTCAGAGAGCTCTTGTGTCCTAGTCCAGGCCCTCACTCATCAAGCAAAATTTTTGCCCAGGATTTCTTCTTGGCTTATTTATGGTTTCTTAACAAGATACTGGTACTAAGATAATACTTCACTTTTTAGGGCTCATTTGAGGGTCTGTTTGATAATTCTGTGCATTCAAAGAAGTAACTTATTAGAATCCATTACTTTGTCTATATATAGCTTTTCTTTAGACTCTGTCCTGAGGTGGCAGAGGGGAAGCTAGGGAAGGTTTTTGTCCAGTTGGCAAAACCAAAAGGATTTTGAATATGACACTACAGGTAAAGGGCGGATGGAGGACACTAGTATTTTATTGAGTAGCTACCCTACGCCATGTCGCTTCTCCCATGTGATCTAAATAAGTGGCTCTCAACTCAGGGCGGTTTTGCTCCGCAGAGGGCATTTGGCAATGTTGGAGACATTTTGGATTGTTGTGACTGATGAAGCACTTCTGGCATCTAGTGGATAGAAGCTAACCACCCTACAGTGAACAGCACAGCCCTTACAACAAAGAATTACCTACCCAAATGTCAGTGGTGCTAAGGTTGAGTAATCCTGATCTAAATTAATCCTTATCCTTCTGAGATGGGGGATTTTATCCATTTTTTTTTTTAAAAAAACATATGGGAAGCATGAGATTGTGGTTAGGTTCCCAGTTCCATTTCACCTCAAAGACTGAGCTCTTTTCACCGTCGATCCTTTATTGTAATTAAGTGCGTACACATACCTGCCTGAGTTCCACTGTTCTCCGTGGGTTGAGATGGAATGTGTCCCAGCTTTATGCCACAGCGTGATGCTATAATGACGGTGCCTGATGTTCTCTTTGGAGTTGACCTGTAGGCCAGCTCTTGTCCTGCAGTTGAAGTAGTCTGACCCTAATTTAGTAATCGTATGAGAAGACTTCTGTTTTGAGAACAAAAATTAAGAATTTGTGATTGTGTCTCTGGCTCATAAGGGAACATCAGTGACCGGAACACTACGTTTGAAAGTTTCCTGCAGTTGGCCCTGTGTATCCACAGGTTCCACATCCCCGTATTCAATCAAGCTCGAATTGAAAATATTTAGGAAAGAAAAACCCGATAACAATAGACAAATAAAAAATAATACAGATTTTTAAAAATACAGTATAGCAAATATTTATGTTGCATTTATATTTTACTAGGTATTGTAAGTAATCTACAGATGACTAAAATTATATGGGAGGGTTTGTATAGATTATATGCGAATAAATACCATGCCATTTTATATACAGGCTTGGGGCATCCTTGGATTTTGATGTGGGAGGGGTGGAACCAGTCTTCCTCAGATACCAAGGGAAAACTGTATTTTGGTCTGTATGTTT